GTAGTTGCATTGTTTTTGTTTTCTTTCTTGTATCCCAGCGATTCGTGTTGACATTTCGAAGACAACAATGGAATGTTGAGATTTTATTAGTGCATAAATTTTTTGGTGGAAGAGGTCGGCGAAAATTGAAAACCAAAGGCAATATGTCACTTTTTTTAAGTAGATTGGGACGCATTTTGAAGTGGATAAAGGGGGCGGACAGCGCTTCCACCCAGGGTCAATGCGAACACAAATATTGGGAGATTTTTAAAAAGAGATGAACTTACATGGGTTTTTCTTTTGCTTGCATTAGAATTTCAGACAAAGATTCGTAAGCGTTGAGAAAGGATCCTTGCTTATGGCTTCACCTCCAGGATTGACCACAATTTTTCAAAACTGACTTATTAGAAAAATTTAGAATTTTTCGTTTATTCAAACAAAAATAAAACAAATTTAATTACGAAATTCCAAAAATTTAAATGAAGTAAAAAGCATGACTGAATACCAAAAATTTTTAATTTTTTAAGTGGATTATTGTGAAGGTCGGAGCACTTGAACATTTTTTGTTGAAAATTATGTGATTTAATATTCTTAAAATATCTACGACATTATGAGATGTTCCTAGATAAGAATATTTTGAAATATTTAAGGTGTAAAAAATCTTTCAAAATCTGAAAACTATCGAAAATTCTTAAAAAATCCACGAAAACTTTTTTTATGGTCTTATGATTCTTTCAAGGCCTGAATGTCTTTAAGAATTCCTGAAATGTAAAATTAGCGAATTGATAGTGCTTGAGAAATATTTTTCAAAAAAAAAAAATCCATGAACTAAGTATCCTTGAAAGATGTTATTTAAAGATGAGAACTGAAATCTGAAGCTCTTTAAACTTTATCCTTCAACAAATAACTTTTAAGAAGATTTTTTCACAAAATTCCATTATCGAAGAATCCTTGCACAATATTCTTGAAAGAAATCAACGATTTAACAAAAAGTTTTAAAAACTAACGAGTTTGATGGCCTCTGTAAAAAATATTTTTTGTAATCTTCCTCGATCAGAAACACAATTTAACGGTCCTTCAAAAAATATCCTTTAAAAAGTCAACAAAGTAAGGATTTTTTAAACCCAATTAAAACCGATACGCAATTTGATCGACCTTCTAAGAATCTTGCAGATAAAGCTTTGAGGGTCCTTGAAAAAAAAATTCTTAATAAATCTGTGCTTAAAGGCTGGAGGTCCTTAAACATATTTTCAACAATTTAAAAAGTATCAGTCGGTTTGCCGACAGATATATACCCTCGATTATTTAACATTATATGTACATCTGTTATGATTATTCAAATTTTTTGACTTTCTATGGAGTAGGTTCCGAAGTAATGGGCCAATATTGTCCATTTTGTATCGGACCTAAATAAATATTATATAAATATTGCGACGTGCCAGGTTTGGGCTATACTGGTTAATTCCCTCACTTCACATGAGATATGTGATAAATTTTAGAAAATTTGAAAATGTGCGTGAATTGCCATATTTAGTCGACCGAAATATTCCATTTTCTTACTCCATCTAATACAGATAAAAATCTAGGTATGGACAAAATTATAACAATTCGAACATATATATCCAATTTTATGCGAAGAGAGTTGTAAGCTTATGTCGATTTGTTTGAGCGTTTTTTTTTTTTTTTTTCAAAAGCTTGAACCCTATGTGGCGGAAGTACCAGAATAAATGGTGCGATCTCTGCCATCTTCATAACAGATCTCGTGTTGATGGAATTATTGAGATGTGCCAGGTCTGAATGAAATCAGATGTTAATTTCGTGTTTTATTAGCTTCATGATTATTCAAAATGTTGACCCTTTGTGGGGGAGGTACCAGAAGGTGTGGACCGGTATATCTCATCTTAGCAGCAGATCTTGTGTTAGTAGAAATAATGAGATGTGTGTAATTTGAAGAGAATCTGATTCTTATTTCGGATTTAATGATCGTTTGTGTTATTCAAAACTTTGACCCTTTGTAGGGGAGGTATCCGAAGGAATGAATCAATCTTCACCATCTTTATAACAGATCTGGTATTGATAGAAATATTGAGATGTGCCAAGTCTGAATAAAATTGGATATTTATTTATTGCTTTATGATCTTCATGGATCTCCAGAAGAAGTGGACCGATGTATTCCATCTTTACAGCAGATCTTGGGTTAGTGGATTTGATAATCGTTTTAGGTATTCAAAACTTTGGCCCTTTGTGGGGGAGGTACCAGAAAGAAGAGTCCGATCTCTACCATCTTTATAACAAATCTTGTGATGATGGAATTATAAAGACGTGCCAAGTCTGAATGGACTCTAATGTTAATTTCGCGTTTTATGAGCTTCAGGGATTTTCAAAGTGTTGACCCTTTGTGGGGAGGTACCAGAAGGAGGGGAACGATATATACCATCTTCATAGCAAATCTTGTGTTAGTAGAAATAATGAAATGTGTGAAATATGAAATATGAAATCGGATTATATTTTCTCTTTCTGTGTAAAGAAAAATATATTTTTTGAAAATGTCGACGTTTTGTGGGGAATACACCAGAAGGAGTGGACCGCTATTGCCCATCTCTGAACTCTATCAATGTTTGATAATAATTTTACGATCTGCCAAATTTGGACCAAATCGGATACTCAATTCGAGAGTTGTTGTGCTCACCAGCCAGCCAGGCAGAAGGACAGATGGACGGACGGACATCGCTAAATCGACTCCAAATGTCCTGAAACGGATTTGGTGCAAAAAGAGCTAGGGTCTAAAATATTTCCTAAACTAATGGCAATTTAGTCGCCCTTTAAAAAAGAATTGAGGTCTTTGAAGAAGTATTCTCAAAAAGGTTAAGGATTGAGAAGGTCATTAAAAAATATTTCTTTAAAATAAGTTTAGGACTTGAGGTCGTAGAAAAGTATTTTTAAAAATGTCCATGGTAAAATATCCTTTGAAACAATCGACTATTTAAGGTCCTTCAAAATTGTTTTTAAAAAATTCAAATTCAGATTGGGTGGACTTTCTAAAAATATTTTTTAAAATCTGTATTTCGATGATGAAAGTTTCTTGAGATCTTTTTTTTAAAAAAAAAAACAATTGTATAGGTCTGATGATATTTGAAAAATATTACGATTTAAACTGAACTATTCTGGTTTTATGGATTAATGTTCTCTAGAAAAAAAATGTCCTAATATTGAAGTCTGATATCCGCCAGAAAGTAATAAACTGAATCCACCAACATTTTTGGATCTAGAAATGTGAATTTCAATAGAAACATATTAAAAAGCAGTAAGTTCGGCCGGGCCGAACTTTGAATACCCTCCACCAATTGGAACGAATTTGGAAATTTTCCAAAAATAAAGTCCGTTAAAAAATTTTGTTAAGATCTTTAAAATACCGAATATAGCCGTTATATTGGTGTCTATGCAACGTGGACCTACATAGGTATTGTTTGTTATAAGCCATTACCATATTCAAATTTAAAACTTGAAATAAACGGTGAATAATGTAGCTAACATCATCAAAATCGGAGCTAGACCTGGACCTGCATAGACAAGTCTCTGTCACAGGCTGTAGCATCCATTATGAATTTAAAATACGACGTGTCATACAATTTCGGTGAGTATTGTTCCTAAAATTGTCAAAATACCGAATATAGGGAGGTACTGATATATGGGGCCTATACGAAGACCTGCACCTGCATAGACAATTTTCTGTCACAGACTGTAGTTCCCATTTCGAACTCTAAATACTTAATTTGAAGCAATTCTGGTGAATAATGACGCTAAAATCACCAAAATACCGAATATCGGGAGGTAACGTTAAATGGGGGCTATACCAAGAAGTGGACCTACACAGACAATTTTCTGTTGTAGGCTGTAGCATCCATTTCGTACTTTAAATACCACATTTGAAACAATTCCGGTGAATATTGTCGCAAAAATCACCAAAATACCGAATATCGGGAGGTAACGTTATATGGGGGCTATACCAAAATGTGGACCTACATACAATACAAAAAGTCCTGCAGGCATATTATACATTTGAGTAAAATTTCATCAATCTACATCAATTCGTTCGGAAGCTAGACGGACGGACATCTCTAAATCGACATAGAATTTTATGCTGATCAAGAATATATATACTTTGTTGGGTCTAAAATATATATTTCGAGGTATTACAACCAAAATGACAAACTTAATATACCCTCCATACTATGGTGGAGGGTAAAAAATAATTTTTTTTCTAAAAATCTTGCAGATATTCTCAAAATTTTTATTAGGACTTTATTTGTCAATTCCCGAGTACTTGTCGGCTTTTTGCCAATATCGTCTCCATTTCTTGCCCAATTGTAAGCGATAACCAAAAAAAAATTGAAATGCATCTCCGAACAAATTTAGCATCCAGACAGTCAATGTTTTGCAAAAAATGCTGACAAGAATAACACGAAAAAAAGTTGTCTCTTCTTGAATTCATTTCCCATGACTCAGTGGACAAAACTTTCGTCTAAAATTGTTGGCCAAAAATAGACGCAATTCATTCACAAAGAATAGGCGACGTCGAACGATCGATGGTATCTATTATGTGGATCATTTAAGGCTATTCAATTTGGTATTGAAAAAATATTTTTTTTCGAATGATATCTCCTCAAAGTTTCAAAGGGAGAGCGAGAGAGAGAGAGAGAGAGAGAGAGAAAGGAAGTTGTGCTCTTTATTTGCATATTCCCTTAAGGAACATCAAATATTGAATAAATGAAAAAAATCCTTTCCATTCGATTTCCAAAAAATATATAAACATATTTATATGGAAATAATATTTCCTTTCTTTTGAAATGTTTATAAAAAAGTAAATATTATATTGACCTCATATAATATTGAAATGAACAAACAATTGCATTGAGATAATGTCTTCCGAATCCCAGAATTATGGAAAAAATATCGCAAATCAGTTCGCTTAATCAGTATATATGTAAATGCGTTTTTTAATATTCACAACCGGCTGTCAGGGTTCAGCTGTGATTTCATATAAATTCTTTCAATTCATATCAATTCTTTTAGTTCATTTTCAAATATTCTTGGCAGCAAGACATCATGAAGTTTTTACTCCTCGCAGTCATTGTGGCCACTGCAGCAGTCCAGGTAATCCAAAGTTAGACGATTCTGAAAAAAAAATTAAATTATTTATTTTTCTAGATTTCCCTTGGCATTTCTGTGGCCAAGCGTAGTGTTGCCGATGGCAAGGATAATTTTAAAGCCATGATGGCCGACGTTAAATCTCGTGTCCAGGCAAATGTTAAGGCCATACCTGACATGGAGGCCTATGCGAAATATAAAAATGAGTTTTCTGAGATTTTAAAAGAATTTGATGAACCAAACGACAAGGTGGTGTGCAGTGCCAAAATGGTGGCCATATTGGACAAGCTTTACGAGGCGATTAACAAAGTCAAGGCCGATGACAGTGAAAGTGCGAGGAAAATTCTCGAAATAGCCCGAGCGAATAAGGATGAAAATTTCGATACGAATTTTAAGGCAGGTCTGGAATATGCAAGACATCCGGAAGTGTTTGAAGAAGAATATTGTTAGTGTTCTGACTTAAAAGAAGAAATAAAAAACAAGTTAAAAAGCAGTAAGTTCGGCCGGGCCGAACTTTGAATACCCTCCACCATTTGGAACGAATTTGGAAATTTTCAAAAAATAGAATGTGTTACAAATTCTGTTAAACTTTTAAAAATACCGAATATAGCCGTTATTTGGGGTCAATAAGAATATAGCCGTTACACTGGGGTCTACATGGGCATTGTTTGTCATAAGCCGTTACCATATTCAAATTCGAAACTTGAAATAAACGGTGAATAATGTAGCTAAAATCATTAAAATACCGTATATAGGGAGGTATCATTATATCGGAGCTATACGAAGACCTGGACCTGCAAAGAAAATTTTCTGTCATAGGCTGTAGCATCTATTACGATCTTCAAATACGACATCTCAAACAATTTCGGTGAGTATTGTACCCAAAATCGTCAAAATATCGAATTTAGGGAGGTACTGATATATGGGGCCTTAACGAAGACCTGGACCTGCACAAACAATTTTCTGTCACAGACTGTAGATCTCATTACGAATTCTAAAAACGTAATTTGAAACAATTCCGGTGAACAATGACGATAAAATCATCAAAATATCGAATATTGGAAGGTACCGTTATATGGGGGCTATACGAAGACGTGGACCTGCACAGTCGGGCGGGGCCGACTATATGATACCCTACACCACTATGCATATTTAGTAGAGCTCTCGTAAAAAGTTTTATACAGGGCATTTCAGAGCTCTATGAGATATTTGGTACAAAATCAAAATCTATCTAATTCTATCGTGCATTTTACGAACTATAGCTATCTCTGAACCGGGTTTCTCCAAATTTTACGTATTAGCTTCTAGACTGGTGGTTTGGGCTGATATTGACCATTTAGTGCACATTTAACCCGAAATCGGATGAAGATATATATAAGAGCTATATCCAAATCTGAACCGATTTCGATAAAATTTAAAACAGCTATTCCTGTGCTCCATCTAATACCTGGTACCAAATATCACGGTTGTAGAGTGAATATTACGAATGTATGGGACTAAAACTCTAAATCGGATGAAACATATATATGGTTGCTATATCTATATCTGAACCGATTTTCACTAAATTTTATATACTTGCTTCTAGGCTGAATTTGGTCCATGTACTAAAAATCAGTCCATTTGGACTTATATTGGCCATTTGGTGAACAATTAACCCGAAATCGGATGAAGATATATATGGGAGCTATATCCAAATCTGAACCGATTTCGATAAAATTACAAACAGCTATTTCTGGGCTGTATCTTATATCTGGTACCAAATATCATTCTTGTGGAGTGCATATTACGAATGTGAGAGGCTTAAACACCAAATCGGATGAAATATATATATGGGAGCTATAGCTATATCTGAACCGATTTTCTCCAAATTTGATACACTTGCTTCTAGGCCGAACTCGGTTGGGTGTGCCAAAATTCAGGTAATTTGGACTGATAGTGGACATTTGGTGCACATTTAGCCCGAAATCGGATGAAGATATATATGGGAGCTATATCTAAATTTGATCCGATTCTCACCAATTTCAATGGGGTTCGTCCTTGGGCCAAAAAAATATTGTTTGGAAAATTTAATCTCAATCGGATAATAAATGCGACCTGCATTTTGTTCACAAGAATACATGGACAGACGGACAGACGGACGGACGGACGGACGGACGGACGGACGGACGGACGGACAGACGGACTGACATGCATAAATCGACTCAGAAAGTGATTCTATGAAGGTTCTCAAAAGTAACTATGGGTCTATCTCGTTTCCTTCTCCATGTTACAAACAAATGCACAAAGACATAATACCCTTACCACTATGTGGTGTAGGGTATAATTATGAAACACAATTGAGCAGAAAGGGGCTTTTATACCCTCATCATCGAAGTAATTATTTTAGATATGTTCATGATCAGCCATGTCTGTCCGTCCGTTTGTTGTAATCGTGTTATCTTCCGAAGGAATTGAGATATAGTGCTGTAATTCGGTACTCATGTGTTTTGGCTCAGAGCTTAGATCAAGTTCGAAGATGGCCTATATCGGCCAACTTTTCCATATGGCCCCCAGTATCCCCCAATTTTAGGCACTTAGACGATTTTCGGTATCTTTTCAATGGAATTGTGTGATAGCAATTGAGATATAGTGCTGTAATTCGGTACTCATGTGTTTTGAGTTTGAGTTTAGATCATGTTCGAAGATGGGCTATATCAGTCAACTTTATCGTTTAGCCCCTCTATAATTGTACCCCTCCATTTTAAGCATTTCGACGATTTTCGGCACTTTTTCAACGGAATTGTCTGGAATTTGTTACTTGAAGGTTGTTACGGGTTCTTAACCTCCGGTGAATTATGTCGCTAATATCATCAAAATACCGAATAAAGGTAGGTACTGTTGTTTAAAGGTAGGTACTGTGGAAATTTCTCCTTCAGGGAGTAAAGTACTCAGAGGGAACTCCTTGTGTAGAATTTCAGACAATGCCATTGAAAAATGTGACTGAAATCATCAAAATACCGAATGTTGGGAGGTACAGCTTTATGGGAGATATGCGATATCGTGGACATATATAGAAAATTATTTTTCAGGGGGTAAAGTAGTCACGAAGAACTCCTAGTGTAGAATTTCAGACAATTCCATTGAAAGATGTGGTTAAAATCATCAAAATACCGAATTTCGGGGTCCAACGTGATTACAACAGGCGGACAGACGGACCGCGGATCAAAAATCAAAAAAAAATATATATGGGGGATATAAAAATCGATTTAGAGGTCTATAAGTGTCCCACAAATATACTTGTAAATCCCCATTTTAATAGTCTGCAGGTCCTCCAAAAATATTCTATATAAACCTATAATATGAAAAATTGATTATCCTTAGTAGATATTCATAATTAATGGGCCCAAAGTCTCTCATAAAACATTTTTAAAACATTCAGAATTTCAGAGCCCTTGAGGAAATATTCTGTAAAAAAATCTATAATTTGAAAAAATCTTAAAAATCCAAAAGTCAGAAGATTCTTCAAACAAAATCGAAACATATTTTAAAAAAATCAACGATTGGAGTTTTGGATAGTCCATTTAAAAATATCAAACCTCGAACATGACCAGTGAAAAATATTCCTTGACAAAACAACTGACTTATGGTTCTCGAAGGAAAACATTCATTAAAAAACCCTTTAATCCTTTCAGTCCTTCAAAAATATGTTTTATATCCTCATTTTGATTGTGTTTCAAATAATTCTCCAAACATATCCAATAGTTAAGGTCCTTCAAAAACATTATTTATTAATCCCAACGAATTGAGGTCCTTCAAAAAATGTTTGTGAAAAAATTTTCTTTGGAGAACTGTGGACCTTAATAATAATAGAAATAATATTCTAAAAAAGGTCCTTAAAAACATTCTTAAAAATCGACGATTAGAGGGTCCCTCTATATTTTTAAGCCTCAAATATGACCAATAAAAATATCTTCTTTGACAAAAACCAGGTTCTAATAGCCCTTTATAAAATATTTTAGAAAATCAAAATTTGAAACTGAAAGTTTTGTCCGAAAATTCCTCCGAACAATTTTCTTAAAAAAACCAAGACTGGACCGAAGGACCCCAACTATATCCTACACAACATAATGGTAAGGGTATTATGTCTTTGTGCAATTGTTTGTAATATTTAGAAGAAAGCGAGATAGACCCATACTTACTTGTGAGGATCTTCATAGAATCACTTTCTAAGACGATTTATTCATACCTGGCCGTCTGTTCATGTATTCTTATGAACAAAATGCAGGTCGCATTTATTATCCGATTGAGATGAAATTTTCCAAAAAAAAAAACATTTTTTTGGCTCATGAACGAACAATATTGAAATTGGTGATAATCGGATCAGATTTAGATTTAGCTCCCATATATCTTCAACCGATTTCGGGTTAATTGGGCACCAAAAGGCCAATATCAGTCCAAAAGTCCGTCAAATTTGGTGAAAATCTGTTCAGTCCCTCACTCCACAAGAATGATATTTGTTACCAGATATCAGATACAGCCCGGAAATACCTTTCAATTTTTATCAAGATCGGTTCAGATTTGGATATGACACCCATATATATCTTCAACCGATTTCGGGTTAATTGTGCACCAAATGGCCAATATTTGTCCAAAGTCCTGAATTTTGGTACATCCGACCGAATTCAAATTTTATGAACATCGGTTCAGATACAGCTGTAGCTCCCATATATATGTTTCATCCGTTTTGGTGTTAAAGTCCCTCACATTTGTAATATGCATACAACAACAATGATTTTGGTACCAGATATTTTGAAGAGCTCGGAAATACCTTTGCCAAATTTTATCGGTTCAGATTTCGATATAGCTCCCATATATATACTCAATCCGATCCCAAATGAACAGAATTTTGACTCTTCCGACGGTTTTCGGCCCAAAGCAAATTCTTCAAATTTTGGTTAAAATCAGTTCAGATATAGCTATAGCTCCTATATATGTAACATTCGATTTGGTGTTAAAGTCCCTCACATGCGTACTTTGCACTCCACAACAATGATATTTTATACCGGGCATCAGGCACTGCTCGAAAATACCTCTGCCAAATTTTATCGAGATCGGTTGAGATTTTCATCCGATTTTACGGATATTGCTCCCCATATATGTAATAACAGCCCAACTTGAATAGATTTTTTCATATTCCATCGAATTTTAGCACTTGGTGAAACTCGGTCCGGTATATCCAAGAGTCAGAAGTCCCAATATATTCTTTTAATCCACGATTAGTTTGATGGCGCAAAAAATATTTTTGAAGAATCCGAATATTCTTAAACATTTTTTTTTTAAATCCACCATTTGGTAGCTTGTTGGATCTAAGAAGAATTTTTAGAAAAATCTACTATTTTAGGACCTCTAAAAATATTTTCATTATTTCGTGATCCTTACAAAATATTCTATAAAAATTCTGAAGTTCATTAAAAATATTTATAAAAGTCCAAGAT